GGCAAACTCTTTACATTAACTTTTTGAAAGAGATTTATCTTGAAAAAACAAACAATATAAGAAAACATACATTACAATTTTGGTATAGTATTCAAGATCTAAGTATAATATTTAAAAAATTATAGCGTTTTAAATTGACTTTTGAACATTTTTTAAATTTTTTTTTTTTTTTTTTGAAATTCCAACGTGATAAGAAGGACATTTGTTTTGCAATAAGTACTAGAGGAAAGAGGACTGCTAGATTGTATAGAAATCAAGGGCCCTTCCATACTCAAAAAAAAAAAAAAAAAAAAAAAAAATCTCATTTCATCCATGAAAGAATACTACATGTGGATGAAAATATGAAAAGCACAATCACAAGACTTTTTTCCTGGCTGGTGGATTGAGCATCAAAGCTTAGTTTTGCATCTTTATACATATTCTAAATAATATATGCAAGACATAAATTACAGGATTATTATATATATATATATATATATATATATATATAAAAGAGTAAATCAAATTATATTCCTTAAAAGTTTATCATATTCATTCTCTAAGTTTCCTATAAAAATCATGGGTCTATTTATTGTTGACTTGTATTCTTTGAAGAAAGAAGACAATAGAAAAAAATAACTGATTTGAAAGCTTTTTGGTGTATAATAGAAATTTATTAATTGAAATGAAGGGTCCATAGTAGGAAGAAAAACAAAATATTCCAGAGGTATTTTGACACGTGATAACACTCTTAATTAAATTTCTTTATTTTTTTTAAATAAAGAAATAGAGTTTTTCAAGATAAATGATATTTTTTTATTAGGAGTGATAGCACATGTTAAAATACCCGAATTTTTAAAATTTTAGATATAGATCGGATAAAATTTAGAAGAAAAAAAAAAAAAAAAAAAAAAAAAAAAAAAAGATCTATATATTGTATGTGGATATAAAATAAGAAAAGTCAGTCAAATTATGGACTCAGGAAAGTTGAAGAACATGAATTATTCATGGTCATTATTTTTTCCAATAATTTATGGGCCTAAATTTTGGACTGCAATAGCACCTCTTTTGTATATAGCATAAAAGATATGCAAGTCCATCGATTAACGCCTCTTTATTAGACTTCTCAAAATTTCATGCATACTATTTATTCCATTATTTTGCCCAATGGAAAAAAGACAAGTGGCGAGTTTTGCCAAGCTTGCCATATTGATTTAGTATTCCAATAATCCAAGAATATGAGGATATGACGTGGAATTGTTAAGGTGGATTATTAATAGAAAGAAGTAACATGGCAAGTTTTAATGGAACTTGCCATGTTAGAGTAAGATATTAATAAATATTCCTTTGGAATATTAATTCTACGGGAAATTAAAAGGAGTGGTGAGTCCCACTAGGACTTACCAAACTTAGGATATAAAGTCCTAAAAGAATGAGAAGATTGCATGAAGATATTACCATGAGTGCAACTTCATGAGAAGGCTAAAGTCAAAGATTCAAACAACCAATAGTTTATTGACACATGACGAGTTTTATTCGACTTGCCACGGTAGATTAATTCTGTTTGAATTTATTTGGAAGATCCTATTAATATAGGATACCAATTAAATGGGAATTTTCCATTTTTAGAACAAAGTTGACCAAGTCACAAGAGGGAATGTGGAAGCAATATTTTCTCCTTATTTTTAGGAGACATCAGCAACTGCTCAAGCCAGGTCAACCTTTTTGCTAAAATTCAGCAGAACATGGGAATTCAGTTTATTTCTTTAAATATATATATATATTTAACCCACGATGGAGTAATTTTTGTGAGCCCATGATGCCTGAATTCTGATGAGGCGAGATTGAAGAGAGTTTGCTAGAATTTGGGAAGTGCATCACAACCATGACGCCATGAAGCAAATATGGAGGTTTTAGCCTGAAGTCAAGGAAAGCGTGGTCTATTGAAGGAAAGAGAATAGGTTAGATAAACTACCCATGATGAAGAAGTTACTAAAGTTAAGGAGATCATGGCGACATGAACTCCAAAGCCTAGAAGGAAAGTCTTAAGATGGAAGTTACTAAAATCCAAGGGAATGTGGTTGGCAGAAGATCGTGGGCAATGATGTATATTCCTGGATATATATATATATATATATATATATATATATATATATATATATATATATATATCTTGCCCATGAAGAGAAATATCGCTGAAGTTTTGGGGCCACGACATCATGATACAAAGACTAGAATGGAAAGCTCAACTAGAAGGAAGTTCCCCAAAGCTAGGAGAATGTGATCTACAAAAAACTTCCTTATATGTGCATGATATATATTTGTAAGGAGGGTTCTAACAGAAGTGAAAGACTACTATAAGTCATGGGACACTAGGCTAAACAGGAATATATCGGTTGAAAGTGGTGGAAACCTATAAGGAAACTACCACTAACCACGGGAAGTTATCAAGGGTCATGGGTGACAGGGCAGCAGTTGGTGAAATCGTGTCTGAAGTTAAGGAAAGGAGTTGACGGCGTGAGGAAGAAGAACAAAATCATGGGACACTTGCCAAGTCACAAAGAGAACACGTGGGAATTCATTCTGAAACGACCCATGACGCAAATTCGTTGAAGACTAGAGAGGACGTGGTTGAAGTCTACAACAGAAGATGGATAAGATGGAAGAAGTTACAACCGCTGAAGAATCATGGGACATGTGGCAGTCCGGAACCATTCCACGTGGAAGCTGCTGAAGTTGCCACACCTAGTTAATGCATGCATGAAGCTCTATAAATAGAACACTTAGAGCTAGTTTACAAACCCTGTTCAAATCACACAGCAAAACAACACTTCAATATCTTTTCATTCATGTAATGCACCTTCAATATGTTTAATTCAAGTCCTGCACTTATTATTCCTACTTTCCAGCACTTTACTTTGAAGTCCTACACTTTCAATACCGTTTTCCTTTCCACTAGCCATAGTTCAGTCTGAAAGTCCTTTTTCAAGGCAAAAAGAACACTTGAAGGTGGTAATTCCAGTCCTTCATTCGATCGCCTGATCCTTACACTCTCCTACTGGATAGTTGCTCGGATATCCACTTTGGAACGACAGCAGTTCCTGGCACGCCTGACATCCACTCCTACTTTCCACTCACCTGGAAAGTGGAACCTCTGTTTTTAGGAGCCGAACATTCTTGGCACGCCCGGCGGGACCTTCTAGACAGATTGTTCAATGGCCAGTGGAAGAAGGCAAGGAAAGTCTGTCCAAGACACTTCCGAACTAGAAGAAATGCAAGTCAGTGAACTTCCAGTGGAAAGTTCACGATTCGCACCTAATGAAAATGATATGGTGGAAAATTTTGCTCAAACAATAGCAAATGGACCCATCATGGATAACATCCGCATGATGGCAATGCAGCAAGATAGGTTTGCGCAAGACCAAGCTAAAGTCACTTAAGACTTAGCCAGAGTTGCTCAAAACCAATCTAAAGCTGTTTTATCTCAAGATCGAAAGTTTGAGGAATTGGTAGACCGAATCTCTCAAAGGTTCACGTCTATGTTGGAACGGACCCTTGGAAGCTTAAACTAAGGTTTGGCCCCTCGGCCAAACGACTCTGAAGGGTCTCAACAGTCGGCCTTCCAAGCGAGCAGGCCAGCCACATTTGTTGAAGGGAGTTCCTCTCAGCAACATGCAGGGCCGTTCCCTCCAACTTAGCAATAGGTGCAGTCCCTTCCAATGGCGCAGACTTACATTCTAGTTACACCGGTGACTGCTCCAGTGGCATAGATGACTGTTCCATAAGTTACGCCCATGCCAACCATTCAACAAGTTCAGAATCCTCCACCTGTGGCATTTCCACAGCAGACTTGGCATGATCAGCCTGGCCAACCATGGCCATACCATAAACCACAAGCACAACAAATTGTTCCACCTGTGAACATTTAGCCAGCCGTACCTGTTCAGGCAAGGCCACTACCTATAGTCATTCTAATGGCGGTTGGGGGGCAACCTTTTCCAAGGGAGCCACTTCTTAACCAAGGAGGAAGGAGCCGTGGTAGGAACAACTATGCAGATGCCAACCCTTTGCTTATGGCAGATGGGGGGCATCAGGTGGCTAATCAACCTCAAGGTTGGCCAGATAACAACCCTCCACTACCTATGGTGCTTGACAGAGGCCAACTTGCAGAATTCCTTCAACAGGAATTTGGCCTAACTCGAAGGGGTGGAAGGCCAACTTACAGAAAGCCCTATCCAGAGTTCAATGATGAAGTTGAATTTCCAAGAAATTTCAGAATTCCAGAGTTTGCAACATTCAATGGAGAGGGTGAATAGTCTACTTTGGAACATATCAGTCGGTTCATTGTTCAGTGTGGAGAAGCAGCAGCCAATCCATGGCTGAAAGTACACTTGTTTCTAAACACACTGACGGGATATACTTTCAGGTGGTATTCCAACTTGCCAGCCAACTTCATTCAAAGTTGGCAGCAATTTGAGGAATTATTCCATACTCAGTTCTATAGAGTTGAGCTTGAAGTGTCCATGGCAAACCTTTTCAAACTTCATCAACTACCTGGAGAGTCTGTGATGAGCTTCCTTTCCAGATTCAGGCGGGCCAAGTTCAAATGTAATTTGTCTTTGCCACAGGAAGAATATGTGAAGATGGCTGTAAACGGCCTAGAATTTAAACTTTGCAAGAAGTTTGAAGGTGTACAGTTCCATGACTTGTTCGACTTGGCTGTCAAAGTGGCTAAGTATGAAGAGCTCCTTCGTGAAGAGCAAGATAGGAAGAACTCTTCCAAGGGCACCTACTATCGTGATCCTAACTATGAGGTGTATACCACTGAAACTGAAGGGGAGTTTGAAGTAAATGTAGCCGAGCTCAACATAAAGAAGGCCTATACTTGTGAGGCCTTGACAAAACCAAAGTCAGCCACGGCCAACTTGCAGGCCATCTCTGGTTCTATGTAGAAGGGGGCAGACTCTTCTAAAAGTTACTCTTTTGACATCTCTAAATCCGAGCAAATCTTTGATTTGCTCATGGCTGACAAGCAACTGATTTTCACAGCGGGCCACAAGATGCTGTCGGCTTCAGAAATGGCCGAGAAGGAGTATTGCAAATTCCACAATTTGTGGAAGCATTGCACTAATAATTGTGTTATCTTCCGCAACATTGTGCAAAAGGCAATCGAAGATGGCCATTTTAAGTTTCCAGAAAAATCAGAAGTCATGGGTGTTGATGGAAATCCTTTCCCCAAGGTTGTTGCAACAAATGTTGCTTCCATGGTTCTGGAGCATTCCAAAAAGGAGGTGGACTTGGTAAATCCAGTGACCAGTGGAAAGTTGGAAATTCCAAAGGCGGCAACATTTATGGGGAAGACAGTAGCTAAGTTGGAGAGGCAACTCCGAGAGGCCCAGATTGCTTTAATCTAACAAGGTTGTTGCCCCAAGTGTAAAGTTCAGAATGAAGGTTGCCGTAAAGACTTTCCAAAAGAGAAGTAGAATGAAAAGCCCTCCAACAGTGACTGGGGTCAGAAAAGGAAAGTCCATGACCGGCTAACTTTCCAAAAGGTGGAAAACATAGTTACTGTAACCATTCCAGAGAAGAAAAGCCGGGTTCATCCATAAAGAATGGCAGCAGAGATGAAATCTGAAATTCTTCCAAAGAATTTGGAAAGGAGTAGAATTTCCTATCAGCCAGGTTCTCATCCTCCTAGCAGAAAGTTTGAAAGTAGTAGACGGTAAGATAAAGGTTCTGAAGGTGACAGGCATTCCAGGCCAAGAATGGCCTCGGAGGTATGGGTTAGAAGGGAAAATGAGCGTCTCCAACAAAGAATGGTTAAGCCTCCCATCTTGCAAAGTAACAGGTGGGAGAGGCTTGATCATCCTAAGTTCCCTATCCATGATGATTCCTATATGACCCGCCCACAAAAGTGAAGGCAACAAAGGAAGAGGGCTGATAGAAGAAAGTTATGGGAGAAAGACCATGGCTGGTCCAACTGGCCAAAGAAGACTACTAAGCCGTCAGACTTATCAGAACTTCCAGCTAGAGGAAAGGAGAGAGATCCTGATGATTTGCTAGATCTTGATTTAGAGGTTGGAAATTCCTTGACTACAAACAATCCTCCTACGAAAGATGAAACAGATTTGGAAATTCCCAGCAGTTCTAGTAGCAGCAAGAAAATTTGTTTTGGGAGCCTTCCAGGTGAATTTACTTGCAATATGGTAGTGGTTCTTCCTTTGTTTTTTGAGCCTCAGCCAAATCAGCAAATTCAATGGAAGGAGATGTAGTAGATACAAGTCCTCCCATGGAAAGTCTTGGACAGTCTAGTTCTGGGCCAACCATTATAGAACCAAATAATGGTATTCAAATAGAGGAGGTCTTTGAAGATGAAGCTGAGCATCTCCAGAAATTAAAGGGGGTTGTGATTGAAGAGAACAGCCCCACGAGGCCAAAGAAAATTGTGTTGGAAAAATCACCATATGGCATGACTCAGCAGCTTAAACCTTTGTACATCAAGGTGCTAGTGGAAGGAAGGCCTTTGGCAAGAGTTTTGGTGGACAATGGTTCGGTGTTGAATGTTATTCCAGTCAATGTTATACGCATGCTCGGAAAGTCCCCTGAAGATATCATTCCAACTGATGTGTCCATTAGTGAATTCATGGGAGGAATAGTGAAGACGCAAGGAATCCTACCATTGGAGTTAACGGTGGAAGATAGAACTTCCATCACAGCCTTCTTTGTTATTGAGTCTACAGCGGCTTATAATTTGCTCTTAGGCTGCGAATGGATTCACCCAAATTTTTGCATTCCATCTTCGCTCCATCAAATGCTAATATTTTGGGATGGAGATGAGGTAAAAGTGGTGGAAGCTGATAGCCGGCCATTTGTGGCAAGGGTTTATGATGTAGATGCTAAGTTATATAGTGAAGAATTCGTTCCAATCAGATTTATTGGAAAGGATAGCAAGGGCCGTCCAAGGAAGGCCACCATGAGAAGGACTCTTATGGAAGAAGATGTAAGGGAGTTTTTCCAAGAAACACCAAGGCCAACAATTTTACCCAAGGCCGGTGTTCAGCAATACATTTCAAACAAAAGTTTTTATGGAAAAGAAATCTAAAGAAAATAGAATACTTGGCCAAGCGGTTAACTGCTGCCTTGCCAGGTTGAAAGCATATCTAGCCGAACTATGGTTGGAAAGGGCTGCTATTGCTGGTACTTCATTTTCAACCAATGTTTTGGAGATTATGAAAGATACTGAAGACAAGTTGGATGCTATCCAGCTGACAGACTTGAAGGTGGCGCCAACGAAGTTAGACGATCTCAAGGCTGAAGTATAAGATCCACTTTTGGAAGTTAATCTTGGAACAGAACAGGACCCTCGGCCTACCTACATCAGTAAGCTTTTGGAACCAACCTTTAGAGAAGAATTGATTTCCTTACTTGAAAAATACAAAGATTGCTTTACATGGACCTACGAGGAAATGCCAAGTCTTTCCAGAGAGCTGGTAGAGCATAAGTTGCCAATTAAGGAAGGTTTCAAGCCTTTCAAGTAGCCTCCAAGAAGGATGTCCCAAGAAGTTGTTCTAAAGGTTAAAGAAGAGATAGAAAGGATACACAAGGCTGGTTTTATAAGAACCGCCAGGTATGTTGACTGGATTTCTAATATAGTTCCAGTTGTTAAGAAAAATGGCAAGCTAAGGGTATGTGTGCATTTTCAGAATATCAATCTTGCAACTCCAAAAGATGAGTATCCCATGCCTGTTGCTGACCAGTTAGTAGATTCTGCTGCCAAGAATGAAATTCTTTCATTCATGGATGGACATTCCAGGTACAACCAGATTTACATTGCAGAGGAAGATATTGCCAAGACAGCCTTTAGATGTCCAGGTTCCATTGCAACCTTTGAATGGGTTGTCATGCCATTTGGGTTGAAGAATGCCGGAGCAACATATTAAAGAGCCATGAATGCCATATTCCATGACATGATTGGCCATTTCTTGGAAGTCTACATTGATAATGTGGTCATCAAGTCCTCGGTTAAAGATCAACATCTCTACAATTTGAAGATGGCTTTTGAAAGGATGAGGCAGCACAAGTTAAAGATGAATCCTTTGAAGTGTGTTTTTGGGGTTTCAGCTAGAAATTTCCAAGGTTTCTTGGTCCACCAAAGAGGTATTGAGATAGATCAAAATAAAGCAAAGGCAATCATTGAAGCAAAGCCACCGTCCATCAAGAAAGAGTTGCAGCGATTCCTCAAAAGCAAAGGCAATTATTGAAGCAAAGCCACCGTCCACCAAGAAAGAGTAGCAGCAATTCCTCGGCCAGGTTGGATATTTAAGGAGGTTTATTGCCAACCATGCTGGAAAGACTCATGCTTTCTCCCCTTTGCTAAAATTGAAGGATGCTTAGGAATTCAAGTGGACAGAACAGCACCAGTAAGCCTTTGAAGGTTTGAAAAGCTACCTGGCCAACCCTCCAGTGTTGATGCCTCCAATCAAGAAGCGGCCTTTAAGATTAAACTTATCGGCCGCCAATGAGTCCATTGGAACTCTATTAGCTCAGAATAATGAATGGGGGAAAGAGCAAGCCATATATTATCTAAGTAGGGTGCTCACTCCAGTGGAATGTATGTACACTTCCATTGAAAAGTTGTGCCTTTCCTTATACTATGCGGCTATGAAGTTAAGAACCTATATGTTGCCAGTGGCCGTATATATCATTTCTCAAACAGATTTGATTAAGTATATGCTTTCAAGGCCTTTGATTACTGGACGTATTGGAAAGTGGTCATTGGCCTTAATGGAGTTTTCCTTCAAGTATATTCCACAAAAGGCAGTCAAAGGCAGGGGGGTAGCAGAATTTCTAGCAGATCATCCATCCACTAAGATAGATTCAGAAATATGTGATGAGGTGGATAATCTCTACCTTGACTACACACCTTGGACTCTCATGTTTGATGGATCAAGCACTCATGATGGAGGTGGAGCTAGAATAGTCATCATTTCTTCGAAAGGAATGAAAACCAAATTTTCTTTCTTCTTGGATTTCAAGTGTACAAACAACCAAGCTGAGTACGAGGCACTAATTATTGGGCTGGAGATTCTGCTAAAGCTAAAGGTGGAGAAGGTCCAAATTATTGGAGATTCCAACTTGATACTTAGCCAACTATCTGAAGAATATAGATGTCTTAACTGGCATCCGAGGCCTTTCCACTCTTTGGCCTTAGAGTTACTTTGCTAGTTTGATGATTTCCAACTCAAATATTGGCCTAGACATTTAAATATGGAGGCTGATGTTCTAGCACAATTAGCCTCTCGAGTGAAAGTCCCACCGGGTGTGTAAGAAGCTCTGATCACAATTAAAAGGATTTTTCCTTCGGTAGAGTTACGGTATGAGATGGCAAGTCATTTCCAATCTGAAGAGCCAGAAAGAATCAAACCTGCCAATAAGCCATGGGAGGTTTTCAATATTGATATAGATGGATTAGATTTGGATGCTTGGAGAACACCAATTATCCAATTCTTGCAGGAGCCTAGCTCCAAAGTGGACAAGAGAATTCAGCTTTTCGCACCACATTACAATCTGATTGATGGGGACCTCTACAAGAAGAGTAAGGAAGATGGACTTTTGTTAAGATGCCTCGAAAAGGATGAGTCCATGAGGGTAATGGTGGAATCACACCTTGGAATATGCGGAGCACATCAAGCTGGAATCAAGATGAGGTGGCTCCTTAGAAGGTATAGTTATTATTGGAAAGGTATATTGAAAGATTGCATAGAATTTGCTAAGACTTGTATTGCATGTCAAGAACATGGCCCGATCCAAAGAGTTCCAGCTATTAATATGCAGTCGATAGTAAAAATATGGCCATTTAGAGGGTGGGCTTTGGATTTTATTAGAAAACTAAGGCCTCTATCTTTAGATGGCCATACTCACATAATGGTGGCAACAGATTATTTCACGAAGTGGGTTGAGGCTATTCCATTAAAGACCTGTGAGCAGTCAACAGTGATTGATTTCATCAAGAAGCACATTATACACAGGTTTGGAATTCCAGAGACTATCACCACTGACAGAGGTTTTTCCTTTGTTGGAAGCAAGGTCTTGGATTATTGTGCTGAGTGTGGTGTACAAATGATAAGTTCCACTCCATATTTTACCTAAGCAAATGGACAAGCAGAAGCTTCCAACAAAGTAATTCTCAACATCCTTAAAAAGATGATTGAGGATCATCCAAGGGAGTGGCATCACTTGCTTTCTGAAGCTCTTTGGGCCTACAGAAATTTAAAAAGGTCAAGTACGGGCATCACACCATATATGCTTACATATGGGCATGATGTCGTCCTTCCAATGGAGATGACTATGCAAGGGTGGCTTTCCAAAATAGGCTAACTCTAGCATATTACAACCATGCCATGTTGGCAGAATT